AGAGATTCTTCAAACTACCAGGAATAACAAGGGTGCTTGTTTTGAGAACTCAGAAAAATCAAGAAGTATAGAAATACCCCCCTGTCCCCCTCATCCCCCTGCCCCACCGCTGCCTCCACCAAAAAGGACCGCCCCTGATCACAGGCACTCCTCATCGGCCCCAACTTGGGACAGACCCGTTTCCCCCCTACTCCCACGAAGGCATCCAGTTCCCACCCAAAGAATGCCTCTGCCAACCCCTTGCCCTAGACTGCCTCCGCTGTGGTATGATGCCGACCCATACCTCTCCCCCAGCCCCAGAATAGAGCATCCCCCAAAATCTGCCCCATCTCCCTTCAGGGCAATCACCTCCCTGGCTCAGAAGGTTCAGAAAAGTTCAGAAAGGTTCAGAAAGGTTCAGAAAGGATCAGAAAGGATCAGAAAGAGTCAGAAAGGTTCAGATAGGTTCAGAAAGATTCAGAAAGGATTCAGAACGGTTCAGAATAGGTTCAGAAATGCTCAGAAGGATACGAAGGATAAGTAGGGCTCAGGAAGGCTCAAGAGATAGCGTGGGATAGCATGATAGCATGACCAGAAAGGTGGGCTGAGGAACAGAAAGGAACTGCTGGTGCCCCCCAGCAGCCCTGCTGGGCCTCGCTGGGACGCTGGACCCGTTTTCCAGCTGGAAGGCTGGGGCCCCCTAGTGGCCCTGCTGGGCCCCAGGCCAAGGGGTTGTTTGAGTAGGATAGGATACATAGCCATGGGACGCTGGACCCGGTTTCCAGCATGCTATCGCACGATGCCTCATGTTTTTTTCTTCAAATGTAAGGGACGCTGGACCCTTCCAGCAGGTGATGCTCCCCACCAATAGATGGAGCCTGCCTGGGGGTGCTAAAAAAAAAAAAAAAAAAAAAAAAGGGCAATCACCTCCCTCCTTGTGAAGCCCTTGCAGAGTAGAGCTCTCCCCCTCAGAACCAGCCCACCACCCCACAAGAAAAAAATTGTTTTATGTTGAGGAGTATCCGAATTCTGAACGTTTCTGCAGATTATTTCCCCTCCTTTCCTCCATCTCCCCCTGTCCCTCCGCTGCCTCCACCGAAAAGGACTGCCCTGATCACAAGCTTCCTTTATCGGCCGCCAACTTGGGACATGCCTGCTTCCTCCCCCATCTTCCACTAAGGCATCAAATCTGCCTCAGCCAACCCCTTACCCCAAACTGCCTCCGCTGGGATATGATGTCACCCCCTACATCTCTCCCAGCCCCAGAATAGGGTATCCCCCAAAATCTGCCCCCACTCCCCCCAGGGATTTCACCCCCCGTCTTGTGAAGCCCCTGCAGAGTGGAGCTCTCCTCCTTAAAACCCCAACCCCCACCCGCTCAAAAATAATTCATTAGTGTGCCCAAAGCGGAATTAGAAATTAATAGTGGAGAAAAGGAAAAGGGAAAATTTTTGAAATGCCCCTAAAGTTTGCGTTTAGTTGCGATTTGCCCCTCTGACGGCCGACTTACCCTGATTTGCCCCTCCGACAACGATTCAAGTTTCCAAGAAAACCCTGGCGTCAATTGGGCCTGAAATATGTTCAATATGCCCCTACTGGTACCAGTGCCAAATTTCCAGTATGCCCCTACCAGAGAGCCGATGGGTACCAGTGCCAGATTTCCATGCCGCATCAAGCCAACTCCTACCGTCTATATGGTATGTTCACGGCTGTACATTACCCTCCTACCTCCACATCTTTCACACACACACACACACACACACACATAGAGAGAGAGAGAGAGAGGGCAGCAGTACAAAGGAGCTGAAGGAGGAAGAGGAGGTGGAGGTGGAAGAAGACGAGGTGGTGGTGGCGGTAACTCCGACAGTTTCGAGGATGTGGTTCGTTCGTCGTGGTGGGGCGTTAATGGGGCGAGCAGCCAATGGCACGACTTTGTGCATGCATGGACAAGTGTACACGTGTAGAGGTGCCGAGAGCAACAGAGGTGAGCAGTGCGGCAAGGCAAGAGCAACAGAGAGAGAGAGAGAGAGAGAGAGAGAGAGAGAGAGAGAGAGAGAGA